AGCACAGTGTGGACTTATATCCGTGTATTATTAAGGGATCTCATAGGTCATAACGTACGCTTAAAAACCGTTAAGTTCATTATATACAAAGGAGTTTTAATTTTGGCACCGTTAACACTCTAACCTGAGTTTGTCTTTTCTAGATATAGAACCCGTATAAATTAACAAGTAAACTTAATTGTCTTTGAAGTTTATTGCAATGGACAATGGAGTGTTAATTCTGAAATAAATTGCATCCAAAACAAATATAAAAGAAGTATCGAATAATGTATAGTAATGTATCGAAGTGATACAATTATTCATTATAATAATATATCACTGCGCACAAAGTTTGTATGGTCTGTGTGGCCTGTGCTCCGCAAGTAATTTGGTAGATTTGTACGCGTATATAGAAAGGCTAAATAGATTAATCAGGCAGGCAATACTTATTTTTATACTAAACGATTTTGAATAAGGATGGAAGTTTATTTTTAAATCAGCCCAGGTATCCCAAGGTGGAGCCAAGGAGTTGTGTCTCTCCCATAACTATACTCGTTATAAACAAATTAAGAACACCTAAGTATTTGTTTTTTTTTGTGTCGTTAAAACGGTTAAATATTGATAAATTTAAAGAGAACAAGATTTAGGTCAAAGAATTTCGTAATACGTTGCCGAGTTAAGCGGGATAACTGTTATATTCCAAATAAAACTTGACACGAAAACATTGGGCGACATCCATAAAATACCCTTGTAATCCTTAACAGTTTCGAACTTTCGTTTTCTTATTTCGGAATGGTTTTAAGTAAATTTTGGAAAGTGCTAATGCACAAAAATGTATGTTAATACTCGACTCGGTGTAACACGGGTACTAATATATCTATATCTTGAGCTGCATATATTAAAAAATATCAAGAATATCGGATATGTTTGATCATTAAAGTGCAAATTTTACGTTCGAAATATTTAATTTTCAACAAACGTTTTAAGTTTATGGAGAGCAATATACTTAGGTACTTTTGAACAGCGACAATTTTGGGTGGAAAATGGTGCTGATGCATTGCAATACAATGAAAATAAAAGTAATTGGAGTAGGAACTTCTTTGGAGAAGATTCTTAGTGCAGGGTTTAAAAAAAAATGTTTCTTTTTTATTTAACTATGTAGTTATTTAAAACTAACTTCTAGTGTGAAAGTATCTGTGTACTTATATGTTTTTAAAGAGTTTCGGCTTGACAGAAACATTTGACCAGCATTTTTTTACAAACAATTATTTTTCAATGATTTAATATACTTGAAAAAAATTATTGGTGTCAACATCAAGCTCCCTACTTCTCGTGTCCTGTAAGATATGCTTATATGTTGCGCACAAGGGAACAGATTTTTAATGAAATAAAAGGCAAATGAGTAAACTGTTCACCAGATGAAAGTGACTACCGGCCGCCCATGATCGCCTGCAATTCATGCATTTATTTTCCTGCTTTCTTGTTTTCACAGCAATAACAAGTAAATATTAGTTTTATTTTCTTAATTGGTTATTTTACGTTATTGTTCATTTAGTTTCCCCATAGTGTTATTTCTGTATTCTTTGACTATTTGTTTACACCTAAGTTACAAGAGTTTACAGCAACAATTGTGTCATAAAGATAGAAGATACAGATTTTTGTTGATTCTTTGTGAATATTCTTTAAACTTCTTTTTATAACGCTTAAACAACAATTTATTTTCTTCATAATTCTGGAATCTAAGATTCCTTTAAAGGCTTTTCTTGTGATACATTTATAAAATCAACAGCACAGCTTCGGCATATTTTAATAATTAAGAAACTTATGAAAACTGTAGGTAAAAATATATTGCCTTATAAAAAATGGTGATCTGAATCATCATATTTTATAAAGCAATATATTGAATGAAGTTGTTAGAAATGCGTCGACCACTCTACTAAGTAATAACATTTCTTTTCTATATAGGTAATGTAACTATGATTTATCTTGCTATTAGTCTTAAAAGAAACAAACAATTTAAATTAAATAAATTGCAGCAAAGTACACTCTATCACAAAGACACAAAAATTTAAGTTTACCACACTATTCCCTAGATGGCTCTGTTCGAAAATTGTCACTCACGTTATGGTTTCGTTACCTCGAAGGGTATATAAACGACTAGTTCTTCAATGCCGTTACTCCCTTAGTCGGCCTTACAATTAGGTCGATTAAATCATCATCATCATCATAAATTTATTTTTGCAGGCTTATCAACGCGGAAGTGTTGAAAAAGCTCTATAAAAGTAGTGATTATTAATACTGTATTATATAACGCAGTACTTTCTTAAATAACAGAGCGGAAAACTCTTACAGTCCCAGTAAGGCGTTATTTTAACATAACATTGTTGAAAATAATGTATTAGTTGTAGGCCGCTATGCAGATCTGTTTATCTTTTCGCCTGACATTAGACCGGAATGATGAAGGCGTATTGAAGTACGCATAAGGGATGACGAATTTAATTAAACCTTTTACTTGCGTAATTTGTTCAAGGGATTTTAAAAAAGATGTAAATATTACTAAAAAGAAATTAATAAAAAATAAAGGCAAAGTACATACATAAAAGGGACATACGTCTTTATTACACCGCAAACTAAAAACTGCTGTAACAAAAGACCGTTCTAAACGGTAAATGTTTCATAAGTTTATATTGTTCAAAGGCACATAATATAATTGTATAAATTCATAATGTTATTTTTTATTTTGAAAAGTTCTTCATTGGATTATCCCGTTTATAGGCATTGTTCTCTCTGTAAGTAGTTTAGTATTCATTATCATACTAGTTAAGACTCCTTCAAGTCGGCTATTTAGAAAAGTTATTTATCAAGTATAAAAAAAACAGGCCAAGTGCGTGTCAAGCCACTACTAATGTAGAGTTCCGTAGTTATGACAACAATGCGGACTAGTATTTTGGTGTTTTGCTGAGTGTTTAACGGCTTCGGCAGCTCGTGATGTCTAAAAACGGGCCCATATAATACGATGGTAACACATATCACATTGTGTTTTTAGGTCCCACGTGTTAGGGGACGAGCCTATGAACGTTTACCGGGCACATTTCTAGACTCTGCTGCTGCTGCTAAGAATTCGTCAAAACCCAGTAACACTTAGCCGACCAAGGAATCGAACCCTAAATCTAACTACTAGACCACTACTATTTAATTTCACATATTTTTGAAATCGTTTAATTTATTTTATATAGGTATCATCATAATATGTTCCAATATAAAAGAGATATAACTAAAATAGAAATAAGACAAGGACGTTTTGTTATTTCATATTATAAACATTTCACATTAACGCTTTCGGCGGCGTCGAATTAGTTGACGAATGGCATGAAGAAACCATAAGGCTTCCGCTTTTGCCATTTTGGCTACGGAACCCCAAAAAAGTAAGAGGCATAATGTCAAACCTTTCCACAGACTAAAATTTCTTTATTTTTCATAGACTGATGACTTGTATATTTATACCTACGAGTACTTGTGAATTGTTATGGTTGTCCACGAAGTAGCGTTGCATTGATAAGTCACGTACGTTGCTGATTCTGTTACGAGGTCAAAGTCATAGTTGGCGACCAAGGTTACGGATGGTACCTTACTTGATAAGATGGCAAAACTCAATTGTCTAATCAATATAACATATTATTATAAGTATTATTGTAATAAATGGTGTAAATCTGAATTGATACTTTATATTTTCTATTTAAATGTTAAAATTACATTTATAAATTTATATTTTAACTAATAACAAAATTTAACATGACGCATATGTTAGCCTATTTAAATACTCAACATGAATGTTATTAATTACGGCTTAAAATGACCGTATTAAAAAAAAAATAATAGGTACATTTAAATCGCTGATATTTTATTTATTAGATAATAGATATACCCTGCCACGCTGTGGCACATTGTTACATTGATAAATAGGAAATGAGAAATAAAACTTACGCAAAAAATTAGATTTCTTGTTGAATTAAAGTTGTAAGTCGTGGCGAAAAAATAGCGAATTCTTATTTGACTATAATTTTAGTGTCATAAAATATCATTCATAGGAAACTCATTCTAGTAAACACCTACCTACGTTTTTTGAAACTATCGCCTAAGTCAGTAAGACCCCAGGGGAAAAAACAAAAATATTTTAAGCTTATTTGATTATTTTAATTTCCTTTATCAGTTTAGTGTTACCATTTTACAGCCAATCTTTCAAGTAGTGGAAATACGGTTCAATAAAGTGTCGCAATATGGTAGCTCTATCGGTGCAGAACTTTTTGTGTTTTTGAAGCGTACACAAACCAACTTAACATTTTTATGTATATAGATAGATACATTATAACATCATTGGTAACAAAGCTTTAAGGACTGTTTATGCCTTATTCTTTTCCATCAATGTATTTGTTATTATATTCTGAGGACTCATATTTTACTCAGTTTCCTTGACAAATATCACGTAACACAACTTCGATACAATTTGTAAGAAGAATTCCGTGCTTAGTGATTTACTATGACGCAATAAATGTAAAATTAAAGAAAAATATTTGTATTAGTACTCTACCGGTGTGAGTTTTTTTCATTCACTGTTTTACTTTGTAGTTTATATAAAAAGTTCTATCCATCTTTAAAGCATAAGGCATTTTGTGGCATAATGTAGTTTAAGTTAAGGCATTAGTGTGGTTAATATACATAAAAAAAACAGAACCTGGTGTTTGGAATCAACAAATGAAAACTTACGTAAACTCCTACAGTGTTGGTGAGAGTACTAAGACAATGTTTTGTTAACAAATGTAAAAGTTCTAACATTATTTACACTATTTAAAGTAATTTTAAGCTCTCCGTAAAGAACATAAAACTAAGTCTCGAATAAAAAATCAAATTATAGAGAAAAAGGCGCTTAATTGCTGTGAGAGATTGTGCGATATTAGTACCAACAAAGAAATCTGTAGAAAAATTAGATCGCTTTCACATATTTGTAGTTAAATATTTCTTACCCGTGTACACAATGCGTAGCAGTGATAAGATGGTCCGGAGCAATTACAGTGGCGCCACAGATGACTTTCCCGTCCCGTTTCAGCGCCGCAAGCCATGGGAACTCGCCAGGTGTTACGGGAGCTCCTCCAACAACGCGAGCGCCACGAGCGACGCCACACGCTGGAATAATAGTTATTTTAGCATGATTTACAACATTATCAAGGTATACTTCTTAAGGTACTAATTCAAAAACAGCACAAGAGGAAACTAAGTTGCAAGAATAAAATTACATATCATAATAGTGAGATTTCTTCAATATAATTTTCTATATATTCCACACTTTAAAAACCGGACAAGTACGAGTCTGATTCGTGCACCTAGGGTTCCTCATCTAAATATAATTTGAAAAATCGAAGTTCCGATGTATCGGATTAGGCTTAAAGCCCCCAACCTAGTTTCGATTAAAGGTCGGAGGAAGTAAGGAAAGTTGTTAAAGTTTATTCATGCCAAAAGGCAAATATTTTTAATATTAAAACTGTACCGGTAAATTCAGTTCTAATTTGTATTTGCATGAATCATTTCTCGAAAACGAAAAGGCAATAAACCTTTCATAAGATTAAGGAAGTTATTGCGATATTTCTCATTAAATTGTATTGTTACTTTTGACAATTTGAAAAGGGATGGGAAAGAAGAAACTTTAACATTAATAAGTTGTCAAACAAAAACTAAGCTCGCCATTTGCGACTGTTCACACATAGAAGAAAAAAGAAAAAAGATTTTTTTTTAGTATAGTGGGGGGGGAGGGAGGGGGACGCATAGACGTTTCATCTGATGGTAAGACACTACATTCGCCCATGGACACTTGTGACTTAAAGAGTCACAAGTGCGTTGAGAGACAGTGGGAGGGAGGTTCACTTCACTCACTCGGTAAAAAGCAACGAGAGAATGAAAGCCATGTTTTCTGTGAGGCTATGGTATCACACTGGTTGAGCCAGCTCAATTGTGGATGTGTGTTCCACAGATAAAATTGTTGCTACTGTTCGTGTAATATGTTTTTGTTATCTTTGCCTTTGATCTTGACAGTGGGTCAAGTCCAGGCGACGATTTTCGGGTGTTGTGTGTCATCGCCTTCTTAAGTAACTTGTACTGATATTGACCTCATGACCTTCTTGTTCGGTGGCAGGGTACAAGTGTCACTGCATCTTGATTTTACTAAAGACTATATTAATAATACTTATAAGAACATTTATTTATTTGACCAATATTTATACGTTACAATGTTACATTTTGATTAAAAATAAATCTGAGAAATATTTAGACTAAGTTAAAACAGTTTAAAACTTAAGTAATGATATTTATTTTTACAGTTTTTTTTAGCGATGAATTTATTAAAATTTAATTTAAACTTTAATCGCAGCCCTGCCTGAACTAGGATAAACCTTTGTTTCAGGCGATCGCTTGACTTAGAATATTTATTTTTGACTTGAAGGACTTTTATTACCCAGTACTGCGTCAATAATAGTGGCTCATATAGATATTTTACCGGAATTTAATTTAGGTATTTTAAAAAGTGCAACACAGATAAAAAAGTCATAACCACTTATTTCGTTTCTTAAAATTTAATAATTTCTTGTAATTTCTCACTTAAATAACATAATATGCAGTATAATAACAAAAAAATGTCCTCAGAAAAAATTGAATAGTTTAAATTCTTTAATTCAAACAGCTCACAAATATTTAAATTATTGATATAATAGGACTAATTAAAATCCGAGGGATCCCAAATCAAGAACAGGAAGCAATTTCAAAGCTACTAAACAACCACCAACTTCCCAATTCGACGACCGAATGGCGTAGTGGTTTGTGTAACGGACTGCTATTCCAAAGGTCGCGGGTTCGATTCCCGCTCAAGTCAAGCATTTGTGTGCATGAACATTTAATGTTTGATTTGGTCTGGGTGTTTGTATGTATAATATGTATGTATTTACAAAAAAAAAAAGTATATATGTATTTATATCAGTTGTCTAGTACCCATAGTACAAGCTTTGCTTAGTTTGGGACTAGATGGCGTTGTGTGATTGTGGTAGAATATTATTATTATTATTATTATTATTATAATTGCATGTCAAAGCAACTGATTACGCGACTACCGCTATATGCTAAAATATTACGTACAATACGAGAATAAAATAACATGAGAGACTATAGGACGCGACCTTTACACATTATCTTGAAGTTTGCTCATCTTAATTAGTGTTGCTTTGAGGTATGAATTTTTTTTTTTTTACACAATTTGGGTTAAGTACATATTTAGTGTGGGTCGAAAGTAGGTGATGCAATCAAAAATCTACATAAGAGAAATTTCATTCAATCTTTTGTTTTTCATTTATCTGACACACTACGCCATCTAGTTTCAAACTAAGCAGAGCTTGTACTATGAAACTAGATTGACTGATAGAATACTTTTTTTGTAAATACAAATTATTATACACAGAAAACACCCAAACTCCAAAACAAAGATTTGGTCCGATCCGGGAATCGAACCCGAGACCTCAGCACAACAATGACATACGCTACCACTGCACCACCGAGGCAGTCGATCTGCTATGCAATATTTAATGACAATATTAAATTCTACTAATATACGATGTGCAAACGCAGCCAATTTGCATACAACTTCTCTGTTAGTAAACAAACATTCGCGCCAAAACTTCTAACAAAAACACACTCGTCATAGTGTCATTTAAATGCAACGACAAGTCAATTTTGTAACTTAAACGTTTCATAAACTTTACTATCTTAAAAGTAGGTCACGATCCTCACAATAAACAGGCACTCATCGATGAGCCTCTTTCTTTATTTCCATTAAAAAGTTTCGACGCTTTTTACCGAACCTGTAATTGTTGCATCTCGCAATTGTTGACCGGGAGTTTCAGATAATAAATTTAGCATTTACCCGACGCCTTTTACATATCCGGGGCACTTAACATACTTGTGAAAATGTCTTAGTGGTTTTATTGCAATGGGCTTACGTGTGAATAAGCATAGTTTATAAGTGTTCACACTCTCTACTAACACTCCAAACTATTAGCACTGATTTCGTGACATAACCAAAACTGAAGTATTTTATCTATTGAGTAAGAAATTCTAATTTTAAAGAAAACATTCATTAGTCATAAATTATACTTGTTTATGAATATTGATCGTTCCGGAAGCGGAGGAACTGCTTTAAAAATAAATAAATTTTATGTCACTCACCACACTGTTTGAATAAAAATATGAATAAGAATAAAATAATTGGTCTTATCTTTCCATAGTCAAATTTTGTTTTATTTAATAATTTTATTACCACTTCACATTTAAACACTACTAATTGGAAAACTTAAAAAATAAATTAATTATATTGACACTCACTGCAGGGCTTGCAGGCGCTGGCGACGGCAAGAGCCGCGAGGAAGCTGAGGACGCGAAACATGTCTGGCGGTGTCACAGCCCACTCTATAGTCAGGGGGAGACGCCGGCCCAGCTATTATAGGCCGTGGGCGGCGCCTCCGATATGGCCTCGGGGCCAGTGTGCACCAGATCAGGCCAAGTTCACGGCAACGCGACGACTGAACGAGTGACGATGGTAGGAGCGCTGCGTGACCCCACTGCGCGCCGCTTTGGGGATTGTGGAAGGATCAGCGTAGTTTAGATAATGACCTTGATTATTAGGCAACATTTTGACGCAACATTTCTATTATCAACTTTTAATTATGAATATTTTTTTGGGTATCTAGTATATGATACGTATGTAGGTGTGTGGAATGACAAACACATGATTGTCTTGCAATTAAAATGAAAGTGAAAGACTTGTGCGACTTTACAGGTTAAATATTAAATAGTGTCGTTTCCTTGATACACATGAAATAGGAAGAAAAGACCCTGTCCGATATTCTGTTAAATTGGTTTTTGTGTGAGATCTGTGACAGAGTGAGCTAGTTTTTATTTAAAGACCAGCCCACTGTGTCCTTTTTAGGATGACCCAATAAAGTGATTCTGGTATTATTCTGAGGAGAGAAGGGTAAGACAAATAATAAATACTCTTAATAGTATGTAGCTAAACTAAATATTACTATTTACGAGTTTTTGTCTACTCCAATATTTATTTCACTTAAAATGAAGATTCACGCATTATCTTGAGTGGCTTTGTCAACAAGAAGTAATCTGTTGTTTGTTACAGAATTTGTTTCTCCATATGTTTACTTTTAAAAACATTGTGTTCTTGTTTATTATAACCTCAAAAATATGCTATTGTTAATCTTACAATTAATGGTAGACCTGTCATCAAAGTGTTGTGACAGGTCTAATTTCAGTTTTTATTTAAAGTTTCCTAATTTCGCTGGAATCGGCGTACTGTTCACAAATGTTCACAATAGATTATTGAAAGTATTTTGAATTAAGAAGTTTTTTTTTTGTTTTATTTAATATTGTTATAATATATAATATAATATAATAATACATCAAGTTAAGTTATATAGACGTTTTGTGCATAAAAATATGGCTGGTGATCAAAGAAGATCTTGTATAAATCCACCAAATAAATTTTGTTACGTGTGCGGTTGTTATGTAGTGAAAATCCAAAAAAATAATTACGGCACAGATAAATAAAATAAAAAATAAATTTTATTGTGTCAAATAATTTGTTTACAGAAACTTGTGTTCACAATTCTTTTTTAAGCAAATAATGCCTGTAGTAGAAAATTTAGCAGCAGCTTCCTGCTCCTTTTTTGGATTTACCTTTGGACATCTTGAAAAGTCGTGAACACCTCAAATGTGTTGTATTTCTTGTTACATGGAACTTTAGAAGCGGATGAAAAGTAAACAAAAGAAAATGCATTTTGCAGTTCCTATGCTGTAACGAGAGATTCGAATCACGTTAATGATTGCTATTTTTGCACGATAAATGTCTCCGGATACTCGAAGAAGGATAAACATAAAATAAAATTTACAAATTTGCCATCATCATGGCGACCTATCGCCTACGCACAAATCCATCAAGTGCACCATCTAATTCATCATCTTTAATTCTTAACACAGAATAAACTTTTACGCCTATTTCTGACATACTTAATGATCCACCATTTGAACTTTCAGGAACAGTAACCCACCTCATAAACCAGTGCAAACTGAATGATTTAGCTAAAGATTAAGGTTTATCAAAAGAAAAGGCTGAGTTATTGGGGTCTAGGCTTCAAGAATGGAATCCTTTAGCACAAGGTGTGACAGTGTTTTCATTTAGAAAGCGTAATGAGCATTTTAAAGCATATTTTAAAATGGAAGGGTCTTTATGTGTATGTCACGATGAAGGCTGATTTTTATTGGTTCCTCAGAGAAGAAGATTCAACGTCACACAAAAGGCAAAAGAAAAGTCACTAACCAACTTATATTACTTAATTATAATTATTTTGTTCTATTTCTTTTTATTTAAGTGTCGCTGTATCTGTAAATTTGGATTTGTTACAAATAAATTAACTTTCAGTTTCTAGTTATGTCAGGCAATTGTAATCCGAAATAAGTAACATTTTTTGAGTTGTATGAAAAGGTTGGGTTTTTTTTCCTTGTCTGAATCAAAAATATTTTCTCGTAGGTTAAGAAAGTCAGTTATATACAATAGTTAAGAAAATTAAAACTACGTTAAAAAGGTTATTTACCGTCTTGAAAGCACGCACCGTCCTTTGTTAGGGTTCCTTAGTCCGAAGCTTTGTCACTTTAAGAGTAATAGTCAGCTTACTTAAAAATCTACTTGGCGAATTTTATACTCGTACAAAACACCAAAATTGTCTGAAAAAAAAAATAAGATGCAGGTGTTAGTTATTTAAAGCAGACTAAAGAACTACGGATCCCCAGACTGCGCGTTTCCCAACACGCACTTTGTCGGTTTTTGACTCTTACTGTTTAAATAAAAAAAAACGTAAATGTAAAATGTAAATGCCCAAAAACAACGTAAATGTTAAAGTGCGTTATAAGATTTCATAACGTTTACAAATCAACAGATACCATGAACCATAAAAAAAAGTCTTCTTATTCTTAATAGTTTTAAAATAATATTATTCATAACGAACACTTTACTTTAAAAAAAAACTAAGTTAACGCTTAATTAAAATGTCAGTATTCTGAGTTTCGATTAACGAATGTTATAATTTTAGGCAATGTTTATGACGACGCCAACGCAATTTTCGTGGTGTGACCATCCGTTTGCATCTCACTGGCAGGTCGACTAAAGGCAAGCCCCCTTCTTACTGTAGATATCCAAAAAAAGCTGACCATTCATGCACGACCAGAAGCAAAAGATCAGGATCGATACATCTGTTACGTCACATAATACTAATTATGACTTGGAGTCTTCGACGCTTTGTTTTTCATTATTCAGGACGCAGACATTAATGAGGACACGCCTTTAAAAGAACGGAACGCAACGTCCCGTTGCACGCAAAAAATATACACATTTAAGAGATAATAATGAAAGAGATCGCTTTCGTGTTCAATTAATTTAATTGATCATTTCGAATAATCTTAAAGGTTACTTTTACGGCGTACGTACAAAAAATGAGTTTTTAGTCGCACGACTAAGCACCTTTTTTATTAAAGTTGTATTTTGTTTTACAGAAAGTATGGCTGTGATTTGTATTTTCTTAATAAGTCAAGCGTTTCTTTTTTAAATTGAACTTCTGTTCTATTTGTAGTTCACATTGACTCATTATATTTGAAAGGCTAAGGAAATCTATTTATAAGATTTATGAGTTGAATAGAGAATTTCTATGTATCGTAATATAAAACATATCTATATCTTTACCTACATTATCTTCACCTACATTTTTTTTAAATATTTTCTAAACAAGCTTGCAGTATTTCGGTAAGGTTACGTTATTCTTGAAGTCCTACCAGATTTTGTGTTCTTAAATGTTTAATATTTTTATTTAAAGCATTATAAAAATGTATTACGGGTAGATAATATGCTTTTAAATTTATTTAGTGCCTTCTAAAATTGCCTTTCGCCACTGTATTGATATTATAATAAATGATGTCATTACTTTAATAGTATTTATTTTTATATTTCTGTGCTAACTTAGTCATCACACGTAACAGTTAAGAATTTTAATTACGATATAGCCGTGATAGTGATAGTAGTAATAAATAGCTTTAAAAACATAGTTTTTTTCCTCTTGATGTACTCAGAATCATGACTGTGACTTATCTAGTCTTGAACTAGTTTGACGGGATTTATTACAAAGGCCTTGTTTACATTTTTAATTTAATGAAGTACTAGCTGAGACCCGCGGTGTTACCCGCGTTTGTTGTTATAACCGCGGGCAACGCCGCGGGGCGAAGCTAGTCTAAAAAAAGTAGCCTTAGTTACTCCTTATGTCATCAGCTATCTGCCAGTGAAAGTACCGTCGAAATCGGTCCGGCCGTTCTAGAGATTACCCGGAACAAACAGACAGACAGACAGACAAAAATTGTAATAAAAAATATTTTGGCATATGTACCGTGTAAATATAATAGGTATTTAATATTACAAACAGACACTCCAATTTTATTTATTTGTATAGATAACAAGTATATGAGACTCTCTATGGTATTATGTATCTATTCGAGTTCCTTGAAGAGGTTCTAGGGTTCTAGAGAAATCTAAACTTAAGACACGCATCGATTGAAAAAACTTTAGACTATATGTTAAAAAATTATTCCCTCCCCCCCCAGATGTCAAAAATAATACATCCTCCACCATCTAAAATGGCGGCAAGGGATGTGTGATTCAGTAACGCAACAAGTGACATGTCGTTTTTTTTTATTTTTGACTTATGTTAAGTGTTGTTATTGTAAAACAATTCAGTGTTAAAATGAACTTTTTAATAAATAAAAGTTATTTGAATACATACGTAGTTGAAGAATGATGTTGATGAAAACATTGAAGGAGCTGTCGTGGCTAAGTTTTAACCGAGTTGGTTAACTTATAGCAAAGTTAAGCAATCGTAGCCAGGTCAATCTATGGATGGGTGGCCATTCTTAACACATTGAGACCCGTCCGTGCCTCAGAGAACACGTTAAGCAGTCGGTCCCGGTTCCCATAAGAACGCCTGTGGCAATCTTTACGAGTAGTTGGAGGCCTAAAAGTTTCGACAATATTATTTCTACAGAACTTCGATATCACCTAGTACCTACTTGGGTTGTGGAGGTCTGCTGGCCGTCGATCCGCGTAAAAAATCGAAGTTTACCGGTATCGTAGTAGACTTCAAGCCGACCCTAACGTTTTTTGGGAAGAAGGTTCGATGGAAAAACTCAGTTGAAGGGAATTACTTTTGTTTTATGATATAAGGGAGCAAATGGGCAAATGGGTCACCTGATGGTAAGTAACTACCGCCGCCAGTCGACACCTGCAACTCAAGAGTCACAAGTACGTTGCCCTTTAATCCTAGTGATTTTAAATCAACA